TGCTAGAATCAATTGAGGCAGGCTAATCAGGGCACCTGGGTTTTAAAAAGGAGCTCACTTCAGTTTGTGGTGCTAGTGTGAGGAGCTGGGAGCAAGAGGTGCAAGGAGCTGAGAGGGTGTGCTGCTGGAGGACTGAGGAGCACAAGTGTTATCAGACACCAGGAGTGTAGCTGGGTGCTTACCCCGCTCCTGCCTGGGGGGTTTAAAACAGCCTTGGCAGAGGGCTGGGGCAAAGGGAAAAGCTAGTGGGGTGATTGGGGAAGTAGCCACAGCTGGGACACCCCAATCAGGCCATAGCTGGCCTGTATAAAAAGGCTGGGAGCCAGGCACCCAGAGTCTCTCTCTGAGTGCAGAGAGAGAAGGGCCTGGCTGCAGGGAACTAGAGCAGAGTACCTAAGTGGAGCAGGGCTGGGGAAAGGCTGAGGCCTAATGTTAGGCTAGGAGGTACTGGGGGTTAGGCCAAGGCAGTAGGCCCAAACCCAACCTTGCCTCTGATGAGTGGCTGATACTGCAGTCTGCCCCAGGGAGTGGGGCTAGATGGTGACTGGCAGTAGCCTGATACTGAGATGAGGTGGGGTTAGTGGGTGGGGGTTCCCCTGGGAGGGGAGACCTAGCATGTGGGTACTGCCAGGGGCAGCACCCAGAGCAAAGGGCACTGGGGTCCTGGGAGGGACACGGGAGCCGAGAAAGAGAGAACGAGTTGGATCACTGGCCTGCAGAGGGCGCTCCAGAGGCTGGTGAGCTAATTCCCTGGACAACCAGCAGGAGGTGCCGCAGGGGTGGGTTGGCTCCCCTTACAAGGAGGAAGGTCCTGTGGTGAGAATAAGGAAGGTGTTTGGAGGAGGCCATGGGGAAGTAGTCCAGGGAGTTGTAGCTGTCATGCAGCGGTTACAGGAGGCACTATAGACAGCTGCAGTCCAGAGGGCCCTGGGTTGGAACCCGGAGTAGAGGGCAGGCCCAGGTTCCCCCCAAACCTCCCAATTGACCTGGACTGTGGGTTCTCCCAGAGGGGAAGGTCTCTAGGCTATTCCCCAGCCCACATGGTGAATCTCTGAGGCAAGAAAATCTGCCAATAAGTGCTGGACCCACCAAGATAGAGGAGGAACTTTGTCACAATATATTTGTAATGTTTAGTCTTTTTTTTATACATAGCATAATTAGAAGCAGATTTTTATACTCCTAACGATGTTGATTTCTGTGAAATCTGTTTCTTCTAATTGTCACTCGTGAAATTCACCCTGTATGAAGGGCCAGCACAAACTCTATGTGCTTGCTAAGTGCTCCTTGAGCCTATGGATTTAAGTGGTACTTAAGCCTTGTGCTGGGAGGTGAATTTTCCATAGAATGAATGCCATCTCTCTTACACTTATTGGTTTCACATTAATAAAAGTATGATATCTAGTTCTAATCAGCTCAGCTTGTATTCTGTCAGTTTGCCCAATGTTTTGCATTTATAGGTTTAAACTTGGCTTAGTTTATAAGCCAGTAGCAGATAATTAGAACTATCTATTCTATGTTATCACATTTTAATTGTTCAATACAGTTTTTAATTTTTCAATGATATTGACAGTCTTACGGACACTTCTTCCATGCTTTTTTCTCCTTTTGTCTACCTCATGCTCTCTCCCCATATTTACTCTAAAACTCTAGAGTCTTGATATAATTTGCCATGCGCATTCCAAATACCCCCACAGTTTCTCATAATGGTGATAAAATATTACAGCCCTCAGGAAAATGCTGGTAGAATGTATATCATGAAAATAGACTCTCTGAGGGAGTACTTCTGCTATTCCTTCAGAAATGTTGATTCTCCTTTAGTCATTTTGAATAAGGCTAGGTCTACACTACCCGCCTGAATCGGCGGGTAGAAATTGACCTCTCGGGGATCGATTTATCATGTCCTGTCGGGACGCGACAATCGATCCCCGAATCGACGCTTACTCCACCAGCGGGGGTGGGAGTAAGCGCCGTCGACGGGAAGCTGCAGAGGTCGATTTTGCCACCGTCCCTACAGCGGGGTAAGTCGGCTGCGATACGTCAAATTCAGCTACGCTATTCGCGTAGCTAAATTTGCGTATCTTAAATCGACACCGCCCCCCCCCGTAGTGAAGACCTGCCCTAAGTCATCCTGCCTAATTCATTTATTGGACAGTGTCAATCTTGAAGAATAGAATGTAGTGAGAGAAAATTGTCCAAATTTGAATTTTTGCCATACAGTAATGTCACAAACTTTGCTACATGTGCATAGTCTTAAAAATGATTGTGTATGTATTGAATTTCTTAGTTTCTTTCTGTGTACTATTTGTATGTAAAGATTTTTTTTTTAAAGACTCCACTGTTTTCAAATGACCTTATAGTCTCAGTCTCTGGTCTCCGGTTTGATAACCTTGATTTGTTTCCACTATCAACTTTTAGCAACAAAAATTTCTACATGTATGAAACCAAAAGCTAGAGAAATGTATTAGTAGATGATTCAGATCTAACAACCCCTACCTTCTAAAGAATCATGACAATCCAAATTAAACAAATTTGTGGATTTTTGAATACATAACTCAATGCAGCTTTTCATGTCGATGAAATCTACGCAAAATAGATTAAAATACACAACAAGCTAAGCATCTGCTCAACGCACATCAACTAATAACAAAGGATCAAATCCTGCAAGACACTGTCCCATCTAACTTCCATGGGAGTTAGACTTTAAATACCTTTGAGGATCTGGGTCTCCTGTCAGGTACTGAGCAACCTCAACTCCCATTAGCCTCTGTGGGAGCTATGAATATTCAGCATGTTGAAGGAGGTGCTCTGCAGCTCTCAGAATTGTGCCCTGTTCCTCCATAATTCCTATTGAAATCAATGGGAATTTTGTGTGGGGAACAGCCTTAGCAGTGGTGGCTTAAAGGGCTTTCATTACCCAACTAAAAGTGATTCAGCTCCTCTTATTGAGGGTTCACTGTCCCATTTACCATCTGTCTGGGAGGTAGGTTGGCTTTCTTTTCAACAAATGAGCCAGGACTCTAAAGGACTGATTCTCATTTATTCTAAAACCACTTTACACCACTCCAGCAGTGTAAAGGACCTTAAAGGGGTGTATATATAATTTACTCCCATTTTAAGGACCCTTAACACTGATGTAAAGTGACAATAGTATCTATGAAAATCAGCCTTAAATAAGAATCCGGTATCTTCTGTGATTCATTGACAAGGCTATAATCTCAAGGCCTCGGTGGCTATCACTAAATTCTTTCTTAGAGACACTATCCTTAGCTAGGAGATTTACTGTCAAACTAAAGGCAGACTGAGGGCTAGTATCCTATTTTGTAAAATGTTCTCTAAGGCTCTAGGATCTGATTGCCCCAAGCAAAAGACATGTTGATTAGCTATCGAACAGGTTTTTCTAATCTACTGTCATACAGTTCCCACTGTAACATTTTTATCCATAAAAGTAAGTGTTAACATCTATAGGCAATGAAACATCTTAGAAGGATATGACATTTTAATAAGGTTTGTTTTGCCAAATAAAGTTTAGAAGTCCTTCCAGCTTGGCAAGTGTTCACTAATTCCATCAAAAGGGATTAATTCAACAAGATTTACTCAATACTGCTGAAATAAATAAGGCTTAATAACATAATGAACTATTAAATCCAGTGGGGATATCAATTATAAGGCTTGAACTCATAAAGTGGACCTAGAAGATCACTGAATTGATTAATAGGTGATTATAGGGTCTAGAATTTCTAGGAAAATAACAAGCATCATCTGTATGAAGAGTCAGTTTGTTATTTATCTTGCCTGTTGAAACTCCATGAAAATCCTCTGCTTGTATTAGGTTTTTAGTAATGGTTTGTTCATAAATCCAGTGATACAGGGCATAGACAATCTGAGTTGTGATTTTCCCCAGCCTAAAAAATACAACTGAAAATACTGGGGGGGGAAACGAGAAGGTTTGCTGAGGCATAATATAAATCACATACACTATATGGTTCACTTCAGAAGCAATCCCTCAGACACAAAAAGGCACACAAATTATTCAAAATGCAAGGATTACATTTCTATAAGTAAAACACAAGTATACAATAATTGAGTCCCTACCCAACTAAGTAGTTAGGCCAATCATTCTTTTATGTCTGCCCCTAAATATTACTATACTTTTACCAAAATAATTTGCTCTTTCAGCACCTATGCTACTAAGTTTGGAACAAATTTGTTCCAAAGGAAAGGCACCATATACAAGTTCTCTGAATTTTTTTCTGTGGTTCCCGTTCTTTGTCGTTAATCAAATGAAGCCAGATTTCCACAGAGACTGTGATAGTAGTATCCTTAGCCCAGTGGTTCTCAAACTTTTGTACTGGTGACCCCTTTCACATAGCAAGCCTCTGAGTGTGACCCTCCCCCTTATAAATTAAAAACACTTTTTTATATATTTAACACTATTATAAATGCAGGATGCAAAGCGGGGTTTGGTGTGGAGGCTGACAGCTCGCAACCCCCCATGTAATAACCTCATGACCCCCTGAGAGGTCTCAACCCCCAGTTTGAGACCCCCTGCCTTAGCCTCTAATCTGTCAACTCTCTCCAAAATCTCCAATTGTTTTTGCAAATTTATTCCTTCTTTGTAGAATCCTTTGTTCTGCAGAATGTGTGCTGTATTTTGATCAAAAACCTCTTCTGTTTGATAAAATGTCAACAGACTTACAGTAGTTGGATGCAAGTATAGAGACACAATATTACTGAGAGTTCCACCAACAGTTATTTGGAAACTCGGTAGTAATCTTCCTTTTTCAACCAACCAACCACCCACAAAGTTGATGATGGTTGCAGAATTTTTGAACTTACACAATGTGCTTTAGGATTGTGTTAGGTGTTACTTCTTTCTCAAGAAGGTTTAAATATTGTGCTGAACATTCATACCTCAGAAGTTTAGGACGATTGCATCCGAGAGGTTCCTTCATTATTTTAATTTTATTTTTGTTGTCTGAGCAAATGGCAAAGAACTTCATGTCATACTTTCGTTTGCATTCTTGGATGGCATCCTCTGCAATTTGGACAATGTTCTGCAGTTTTCATTTTATATGTAGTAGAAACAATAATGTTACATATGAATGGATTTTTCCCTTTATGGATGGTTGAAGCCATTGTTGGGTCATTTCCCATGTTTGACCAAACTTCCTGCATTAATGTCAATGTTGATTCTTTTAGTTCTCCATTTACTATTTCTTCTAGTTTTTCACTTCAACATACAGCAGCTGACCTGTGAGATCACATCTGTCAGGAGGAATATATTCAGGGTGAAAAGCTTCAACCATTTCTTTATATTACTCATTTTGTGCTATGTCGAAAGCAATGTTGTCATAAAAGTGGGTTGCAACTTTCTTTTCTAGTTCAAGTCTTTTCCTTTCTGTTTCCACGGGTGTCCACTAATTGTGTGTTCCTCATTTACTGCATACCCAACCTGAGACATAGGGTACATCTACACTACAGGAGGGAGTCGATTTAAGATACGCAAATTCAGCTACGTGAATAGCGTAGCTGAATTCGACGTATCGCAGCTGACTTACCCCGCTGTGAGGACGGCGGCAAAATCGACTTCTGCGGCTTTCTGTCGACGGCGCTTACTCCCACCTCCGCTGGTGGAGTAAGAGCGCCGATTCGGGGATCGACCCCGAGAGGTCGATTTCTACCCGCCGATTCAGGCGGGTAGTGTAGACCTAGCCATATATAGTCTGATTTTCAGAAATTCTAAGCACTCATGATTAAGGCTACAATTTTGTCATGGAGGTCGTGGAAATCATGGAATCTGTCACTTCCAGAGACAGCTGTGACTTCATTCCCACAGTGGCTGGGAGCTGCAGATTCCCCCCGCTGCCCACAGTGGCTGGGAGCTGTGGGGGCTCCCCAGAGCTCCTAGCCACCACATGTGGTAAGGATACCCTGCAGCCCTCGGCCACCATGGGCAGCGGGGGCCTCCGCAAGGTCCGAGCCACTGCAGACACCAAGAGACCCCCTCAGATCCTGGCCTCCACAGGCAGCAGGGGGGACCCCGCAGTTCCCAGCTACTGCAGTCAGCAGGGACCTTGGGAGCTCCAAGCTGTGGGCAGCGGGGCTCCTCAGGAGCTTAGGGCTGCTGGCAGCAGAGGGGCCCCGCAGCTCCAAGCTATTGGCGGGGGGACCTTCTAGCTCCGAGCCCCCATGGGTGGTGGGGGGCCCTGGAGCTCCCCAGCTGTCGCAGTGGGTATGGGGGCTCTGCTGCTCCTGATTTTCTCATGGATATTTTTAGTAAAAGTCACAGACAGGTCATGGGTTTCCGTGAATTTTTCTTTATTGCCTGTGACCTGTCCGTGACTTTTACTAAAAATATCTATGACAAAATCTTAGCCATACTCATGATTGCAACTGAACTCAAGGGAACTGCAGATGCTCAGCACCTCTGAAAAATCAAGTCCTGGATGTCTCAAGGCACCCAAAGTTAGTGGGCGCACTCTCATCTGTAAAACTGGAATAATAATACTTTTCTACCTCACAGGGGTGTTGTGATGATAAATTCATTAATTTTTGTGAGGCTCTGAGATGGAAAACTGTGAGGAAGTTGTTAATTCTGTATTCAGTGCAGGATTTGGATGGAGTTTAGTAAATAAAGCATGAGGCCACACATAGAATAATGAGGGTAAAAAGAAACATTGAGCAGTTGCTTCAGTTCACTTAGTGCAGTCCATTCTGTGCACTAAATGACACAAAAATAGTAGGAGATCATGGAATCAATGTTTGTAAATGAATATGTACAAGGGGGAAAAATTAAGGTTACATGGACAACCTTAATTCTGGCATTTCCTAAATGTTGAGTACTTAACTTTGCAACCTTAAAAGTGTTCTTTTAACAGTTAATTTTATATGATTTAATATATATTACAGCAGCACCCCATAGGCCACACTCAGTACTGGGGTCCCATTGTGTCAAGTGCTGTACAAACATCTGCAAAGACTTGGTTCCTGAGCCAAAGATTTTAGCATCTAAAATTCTGATCAACTAAATCAATTATTATAAGGCTAAAGTTCTTCCAAATTAATAAGACTGAGACAAATACTATAAATAAACAATAATTGTGCTTTTAAATTTTTTTAAGTGTATTAGAAACCACAAAGATGTAATAAAAGGGTGTCGTAATGGAATCTACTTCTAAATAAGAAGTTTTATTTTAAGGTTCAGCTGGATAATAAAAATACATACAAAAGTATTTCTTTATTCTGACTGTTGGTATTGATGAGATTTCATTTTTTCTAACTGATACAATATTTTATTTATACAGATGAAAATGAAAGGCTGAAGAATAATACCCATCTCTTGGAAGAGAAATTAAAGGCTCATGAACAGGTGAGACATGACTGGGCATTCTGTATTCAAAGCAATAGGGCATATATCTATATTTCCCTTGATTGGAGCATCTCAAGCAATGGTTTACAGTTCTTCATGAGGGACATGGTACTAAACTTTGGGGAAATTCTATGGCCTCTGTTATACAGCAGGTCAGACTAGGTGATCACAATGGTCCCTTTTGGCTTTGGAATCTATGAATCATTCCTGAAAGAGCTGTGGCTGAACTGGATTATTCTTTTCATTTATCTTATCATTGCTCTTCTTCTGAAGCTGATCTTGCACATAAAAACAGATGACCAGCTATTTAAAGATCAGAGCAGTACCGATAAGAGATGATGTTTTGGAGACCCAGGGGTAGGTCTTGTTAAAGGCACTTAACTTTAAATTCAAATACTCACATGTTTAAATTCACAGGAATATAAGAATCAAATTGACAAACTTGTGACAGAAATTAAAAACAAAGAAGAAGAATACAAACTGGAATTAACAAAGGTTCATTGTGACATGAGCAGAAAATGTAAGTTTTCTGAATGCTGCACTAAGTTTTAATGATCCTGAGATATGACATATCCAAATCAAAATCACCAGCTGGTTATATATGTTCTGTATCTCTTTTTCACTTTCATATTGTTCAGGAAACTTATAGGTAGCACATTTTATACCTATTTGAGACCTTTTTTTAGATAATTTAAAAGCAAAGATTCTATAGAAGTCTAAGGCCCTCTGACAAGATATTCCTGTCTACAATAAGGGGTAACGGTGAGTTCCACTTCACATCAGATTATATTTGTTTAATTTGAAATGTATTACTTGTAAAATATTGAACTCTGTGTGTGTATATATAGCAACAGTAACTATTATCCTTTCTCAAGGCTAGGTTCATAGCTCCTTAGTGTGGGTCATTGCCTGTCTGTAGCTATAGGGGGCAGAATCAAAGCATTGAACTGGGGACAAGGGACTAGCCCCAACCCCACCTTCCAGGGAGGACCTCCTCAGTTTTGCTTTGCTTTGTCTCCCTACGGGCAGGGCAGAGAATCCAGTACTTGCTGCAAGAGAGAGAATTTAAAAAAAAAACAAACACTGCCTGGAATTAGCACAGTGCCTCCCGCCTGCCCTGACTGTTCAGTTTATAGGGTAGGAGGATGGTGGAGGGAGACCAAGGCTGTGTTTCTCCTGTGCTGTGTCCCTGCCAGAGGGTATAGAAGGAGAGGGTTGTGCCTTGTGCAACCCAGCCGCCTCATCTTCTCAGAAAGGTTTCACTTTGGCTGCCTCATGCCAACCCCAGAGCCAGTTCCCCAGGAGTTCCCCCCCTGTGAGGGAGGAGTCTGACAGTCAGAGACCACAAATGTCTCAGTGGGTGGCGGAAAAATGAAGAGAGCACTTGAGCCACCAGATGCAGTTACATCAAAGGGCAGCAGCCCGGCATAGGAAACCATAAGCCAGTCGGCTGAATCCACCACAGACAGAGCCAGGAGTGGCCAGTGAGACCATTTTGGGTGCATGTGGTCCATGGCTCAGATCATCCCTCCATGAAGCAGAGAAGAAGGGAATCAGTCTTCCTTTCAGGAAGAAATTTCTTCTTGGGCTAGGGAGTTCTTGGATTTGGCACAAAAAACACCTTTATCTCAGAGGCCATCTTGTGAGCCCCAGATAGTGGCTGCAGTGTCCCCTTACAGGCTTTCTATCCACTTTCAAAAGGACAAAGATAAAAAGATGCCTGCTAGCAGAAGAGGTTCCCAGGACTCCTCATCTGACTCAGGTCCCCAATCCCCACCTCCCTTAAGAAGTCAAATTATAAAAGGGGGAAAGATTCAAGAAATTACTTCAGATACTTTGAAAAAAAACTGCCCTGTTCTTCTTGGGATAACAGTTCCACCGACGCATCACCAGAAGGACCCAGAACTAGAGGCTCTGCTCAAAGTTTTCATACATGGAAAGAAAAACCATAATAAAGGGAATACATTGTTTAAGCATCTGGCTCTTCTTCATCATCATTTAATTCATTTTCATCCTCATTTTCTGATGAGCTCATTAGAAACGATTCTAAGGAGGAAGAAGAGGACTGCTATAGAAATTACAAAAATATTTTCTAACCAGTTCAAAATCTGAACCACACATTCCCCTTTATATCTTTTTGCAAAAAGTAATTAAGGCTGAATGGGAAACACCAGCAAAGTGTATGAGATTGTCCAGGTGTGCCAAAATATTCTACAACACAAACTGTAGCAAACCAAAAAAAGAACAGGAGTACTTGTGGTACCTTAGAGACTAACAAATTTATTAGAGCATAAGCTTTCGTGGACTACTGTAGCAAACCAGATTTTGTCTCTTTTCCCAAAGTGGACAGGGCAGTTTCAGCACTAGTCAAAGACACTGCTACCCTAACTGAAAGGAATTTTTTGCCCAAAAGAACCTAGCGACCACAGAATGGATATATCATTGCATTTGAGGCTGTATCTTCCTCCCTGAGGGCTTCTGCAGCAATGTGTTCTGCAAGAGCAGAACGGGCCTGGACTCACAATTTGGCAGCCGGACTGCCAATTAAAATGGCTAAGAAATCATTGAGGTTAGGTTTGGAGTTAAAAGAAAATCTCAGTGGCTTCAGCATTCATAGCCAATGCAACCAGGGATTGCTTTGATGTTTTCAGCACACGCCGTAGCCTTCAATGTGGTGACCAGATTGCATCTCTGATTATGAGTCTGGAACAGCGAAGTACAGGCCAAAATCATGATAGTGGCTTGGAAATAGTCAGTTATTTGGGAATCCATTAGACATTTAAAATAACCATTTTTTTCATTCCAAACAAAGAACAATACATTTTTAATATGTTTTCCCTTTTTTCAATTTGTGTTTTTAGTTGGTTCATGAATTTGTCACTTTACAGCTTCTGCTCATTTTGAATTTTACTCAGTTAATAAAATTAATGTTCTTGATAATTACAATTTTATATTATTTTATTATTAGTTGAACTAAAAGAAGAAGAGCATAAAGAAAAGCTAGAGAAAAAAGAGCTGACAATATTAGACTTAACCAGACAACTGAGAACTCTAGATAAAGAGAAACAGAATGAGATAATCAAACTGCAGATAGAGGTATGCACTACAGGGAAGAGAGGGTTTCGTAAGTTTAAAGTTTAAAGACCAAATAGACATGCACCTTGGATAGATTTAAAAGATTCTATGTAAAGAAAAGGGTTGAGATTAGCACTTACTAATGTAATTTGGATCCTCACAGTTTTAAAATTTAAAGAGGCAGGTCCACAGGTGGTGTAAATTGTCATAGCTCAATGAGTTTCATCTGAGCTGAGGGTAAGCCCTCCGAAGTTGGCCAGTATGAAAAATGTTGAGATCTGTTCTCTCCTCCATGTACACGTGTAATTAACAAATGGGGGATATGTCTGTATTTTAAGAATAATATAACTTATTGTGTTGTTTTTGGGAAAGAAAGAATTGTTTTAAGTACATCTGTTATGCCCTCTTAGAAAATTTTGCCCTATATGTTTTTTAGCGTCTAGAGGGATGAAAAAAATGCTTTTGTTTTTTGCTTATTTTTTCAAATGTTTATAGTTCCTGTAATATTTGGAAGGTGTCTTTACTTTAAAATGTTGAGAGCTTGAGGCCCTGATCCAGCAATGCGCTGGCAGCGCCCACTGATTTCAGAGGAACGCTGCATAGGTACTGTAAGCTTCAGGACTGGAGCTTTATTTAACATCTGAGGTTTTAAAGCCACTGCTCTGCTACTGAAAAACTAAGCAAAGATTTCATGTTAAAAAAAATAAATAGGGCATGAACCTCTGGTTGGGATGAGCTCTCCTCAGGACCCAAATGCAATGCCTTCTTTTGCCCAGACACACTCCCTACAGTTGGGGAAAATCCTCAGCTGGTTGGCAAACAAATATTATGGCCCCTTTGAACCACCAGAATCAAGGACTTGGGCCAATATTTTTAAAGGGACACTGTCCACTTGTAATCTTATTAATTTTTAATTTTAAAAAACTGATTAAGTAGTTGCATTTCTAATTAAGTAGTTGGATCACCCTGCCAGTTTTAATTTTAAGGTACAAAATACATGCAAAACCACGTGGAAATTATGCCTATTTTATGAAAATAATCATAGAATCATAGAATATTAGGGTTGGAAGAGACCTCAGGAGGTCATCTAGTCCAACCCCCTGCTCAAAGCAGGGCCAACACCAACTAAATCATCCCAGCCAAGGCTTTGTCAAGCTGGGCTTTAAAAATCTCTAAAGATGAAGATTCCACCACCTCCCTAGGTAACCCATTCCAGTGCTTCACCACCCTCCTAGCGAAATAGTGTTTCCTAATATCCAACCTAGACCTCCCCCATTGCAACTTGAGACCATTGCTTCTTGTTCTGTCATTTGCCAACACTGAGAACAGCTTAGCTCCATCCTCTTTGGAACCCCCCTTCAGTAGTTGAAGGCTGCTATCAAATCCCCACTCACTCCTCTCTTCTCCAGACTAAATAGCCCGTTCCCTCAACCTCTCCTCGTAAGTCATGTGCTCCAGACCCCTAATCATTTCCATTGCCCTCCGCTGGACTCTCTCCAATTTGTCCACATCCTTTCTGTAGTGGGGGGCCCAAAACTGGACGCAGTACTCCAGGTGTGGCCTCACCAGTGCCGAATAGAGGGGAATAATCACTTCCCTCGATCTGCTGGCAGTGCTCCTACTAATACAGCCCAATATGCCATTGGCCTTCTTGGCAACAAGGGCAAACTGCTGACTCATATCCAGCTTCTTGTCCACTGTAATCCTCAGGTCTTTTTCTGCAGAACTGCTGCTTAGCCAGTCGGTCCCCAGCCTGTAGTGGTGCATGGGAGTCTTCCTTCCTAAGTGCAGAACTCTGCACTTGTTCTTGTTGAACCTCATCAGATTACTTTGAGCCCAATCCTCCAATTTGTCTAGATCACTCTGGACCCTATTCCTACCCTCCAGCGTATCTACCTCTCCCCCCAGTTTAGTGTCATCTGCGAACTTGCTGAGGGTGCAATTAATCCCATCATCCAGATCATTAATAAAGATGTTGAACAAAACTGGCCCCAGGACCGACCCCTGGGGCACTCCGCTTGATACTGGCTGCCATCTGGACATCGAGCCGTTGATCACTACCTATTGAGCCCGACAATCTAGCCAGCTTTCTCTCCACCTTATAGTCCATTCATCCAATCCATAGTTTTTTAACTTGCTGGCAAGAATACTGTAGGAGACCATATCAAAAGCTTTGCTAAAGTCAAGATATATCACATCCACTGCTTTCCCCATATCCACAGAGCCAGTTATCTCCTCATAGAAGGCAATCAGGTTGGTCAGGCATGACTTGCCCTTGGTGAATAATGTTTTCTTCTGTTGGGTCAGTGTAAATATTAGGGATTTTTGTCCTTTCCTTTTGTTTCAGTTCAATGCTAAATTAGCAAGAGTTCAGAATAAAACAACAAAATCATATCCAGATACCACTGTCTTGCCTCAAAACATCTACAGAAGGGTATGTGTTTTAATAGCTTTTTCCTAAAAATGTCTGTGGGTTGCAAATACTGTTGCTACCATGTGTTTATATAGAATATCTTGCTGGTATTTCTGTATGATATGTAAGGTTTTAAAGCACAGCTTGCTTTGAAAAGTGACTGCCATTTTTACAAAATGTGCCACTCCTTGTTTATTGTGCCACCATGGCTCCAAACCATATTGCTCACTTACCAAGTAAAACAATGATTTTTTGATGTATCTGAAAGTGAAGCTGTGAACCTTCCAGCTCATGTGTCATTCCCAGCACTAACGATTCTGGGGGACAGATTCTGTCATCAGTTATACCTGTACAAACCCAGTGTGCTCAGTGGAGGCTCCACAGAGGGATAAATTGCCTCAACCAAACCACCAGTATCCTGGAAACCTGTCCAGAAGGAGGAAGCAACAACCAGTGGATTTGATTGCAGTGTGCATCCCGCAACTAAGGGCCTGATCCAAAGCCTATTGAAGCCTGCTGACTTCAACAGGGTTTGGCTTGAGCCCTAAATATTCCTGTCGATGGCTGTCGCATGTTGGCAGCTATGCACGATGTGCAGCCCCACCATAGCCTTCCAGCTTTCATTGATTATGTTCTTTCCAGTATGATGATGTCACAGTTTACCACAGAATCCTTCTGGTGCCAGTTTATGGAGGTCAGGGGATAGGGTTGAGGATTTACTATTTATTATATATCTTAAAGTATATGTAATAATAATAATAAACTTTGAAAATGTTAAACATAGCATCCGGTGGTTTATTTTTAAATATATGCACGATCCCTTGCTTCAGGGATTTAATGTTACTGCCATTTGCACTTTCAAATAAGCTTGAATTTTTTTGTAGATGTTTAAATATATTTTGTTAAAATAATGCCCATACACAATCAAACATCAACTATTGCTTTCATTCCAGTGTAAGGTGAGGATTGTGGGATTTCATATTGGCCATGTACCAACAAAGCACTTAAGCACATGCTTAACTTTTACCTTGAATAGTCCTATTGACTTCAATGGCAGTACTCGTGCACTTAAAGTTAAACATGTGCATCGTGCATGTGCTTTTCTAGATGAGGGCCATTAGGCTGTCAAATAAAGAGGATTTTGTGAGAATTATCCTTGTAAAATACATATTATGTTCTCATTATTGTATTTAGGATAATTTCATTAGTAGCAGCAAGTTGTGTTGATACACCTATGCTGTATTTCAGTTCTAAATTTTAATTACCAAAACATTTATTTATATTTCTATAGAAACTTCAGCATCTCCAAGAGGAAAAAAACAAGGAAATTGAAATTCTCCGTAACACTATTAGAGATTTAGAGCAACGACTCAGCAGTGGCCCAGATTCCCTCCTCAAACGGAGACGTTTTTGAAAGTAACTTTGAACATGCACTACTGAAATGGTTTCTTGACTTAATACAACTGAAAAATATATTATAAATGCAATAGCACAAGCTATGTACTTGGAAAGTGAAAACAAAATATAAGGCAACTCTGGAATGCCATCTATTTTTATTGAAAACTCTCTTATCAAATATACCATACATCTATATTCTCCTTATATTCAGTACTGCTTTCTTGCTTATTAGCATTCACCATAAAAGGATTCAGGTTTTGTAGGAGACAGTTTCCCTATTAAACCATCATTAACTATGGCATGTGCTTTCAAAGCATTCACCTCTATTCTTTTTTCTTTCTTCCATGATCCTTCAAATTAAAGACTACGTTGTTTTCAGTTCAGTTAAGATAGTCAAATTGTAAAAATAACTACACAAAGAGAGACATTATACAAGTTTCATTAGTAAGTTACATTGATAATCTATATATATGGCTAAATTTAACCCTGGCATAAATAGACACAATTCAGTGAGAGTTGTGTTTGCTTATACCAGGAATGAATTTGATTCATAACCTTGTTTCACGCCCTGATTCCACATCAAGATCTACTAACACTGCCCCCTGTGCCCATGCAGAATCTTGTTGTCTTCAGTAGAGCTTCACAAAGGTACAGGGGTCCTTGCTAATGGAGTCTGATATAGGATCTGGTCCTTAAACTATAAGATATCAAAGAGTACAAAAACCATTACTTTTGAACAATGCAATTTTTGGCATATGGTTTACAGCTGAAATAAAACATTGTTATGGCACGTTACTCTTGAATAAGCTTTTCATATGTATCAAAAACAATATGATTTTTTTTTGTTGAGAAAAAAATTAACTTTTTAATATTTCCTGTTCTTCAGAAATAAGTAATAAAACATGATTAGAATGTCTTTTCTGGCTTTCTTCTATTCTTGGTTGCTAAATATCAAACAGAAGCCCCTAGGTTATAGTTTATGCTTCTGTCCTCACTAATGCAAGCAGAATATTAGGAGAGAAACAAGAAAGACAAATTAACCAAATGCTGTAAACACCCTTCAACTAGCACTGAAAAAACAAACTATGGCTTAGGTAATTTTACTTTAAAAAAAAATAACCCTCTACTGATGGTATTCCAACACATATCAAATTGTTTTCAGTGTTATATTTTAACTTCTCTACGCTTTTCCGTTTCCTGTCTAGGGTATTAATCTGATAAGTTTGAAGTTTGTTATTACAAGTTGTATTAGAATTAAATGCATTCTAATTGAAGGGATCTTTCCTGATGTTAAAATGTTTAGTTTGTTTTTCATGCTCAGTTTCCTGTCTTTCCTTCTCACTGTCAGGTGTCAGATGTTTCATGCTCACTTGCTGCTGGTGAATGTCAAGCAGCTGTGGGCAGGCGTCACTGTCAAGATTCAGTGATGTTCTCTGCTAACAGCTGGCCATGTCACCTGCAGGAAGATGGGAGTTCTCCCTGACAGTGTCAGGTGGCTGCATTTCCTGATTCTTCAAACAACAGGTGTCGGCAGTGTCAACATCAGCTACTAGAAGTTGACTGTGACACTTTCTGCCAGTTTCAGGTTAACTGTTTGTTTCAGCTGGAAGTTCCTTTTTTTCAAGGCCTCTTAACTTGTGTAGGAACTTTCCCCACTTCTCTTTGTGGGGCAGTTTCTACATTTGGTTGACTACCTTTCTGACCCTGTCTATTACGACCCACAACCCTGTTATGACGTTGACTGCTCTGGTGGGAATGATTTCTCGGAGCGTGAGCAGAATCCTGTTGATTCTGCTCTTCTGAAAGCTGGTCCCCTTCCTGGTGGTGGTGCCTGTGTCCATGATGTCTACGTTGATTGTGGTGGTGTGAATGGTGGTTGTGTGGCTTCGGTGCTTCTTCAGCCGGCTTTTCGTCGGCTGTCTGAGATATGTTTTTGCATATATCTTCAACAACCGGTGTCTGGAAAATATAAGTTCATACAATAAAAATGCACCCATCTGAAGTAAACAGTTAGTTTTAAAATCTCAATTAACTTATGTCATTATTACAGTAACTGAAAACAAAGGCTTAATCATATCAGACATAAAATATTGTCATTGCTTAGGTATTTTTGTTCAAGTTATCCTTTTTAAATATGTTTTTAAAAGCCATGACTGTAACACGAACAAATTAAAGGCTAGATTTTGTTGCAGTAGGGCAACCTGCATTGCCTGCATTGCAGCTCCCAGCACTCCCTGTGCAAAAGATGCTCTCACCAGGAGTAAGTTGACATGGAGAAGGAGAAGCAGGTCAGCTGGCTGGGGGAATTTTTCAGCATCTCAAAGGGTATCATCAATTGCTGTCCCACAATGCAAAAGGGGAGCTGGGGAGGAATTGAGCCTCTGAGGGCTTTCTCTGAGGCACAGTGTCTCCCTATGTCCCCCAGGTGCATTATGCTTATACTCTGCCACTTACTTCAGGCTGTGTCTTAATGACACAATTTAGCTCTAAATAACTATGCCAGCAGAGAAACTATGTACACTAAGCCACATGGCTAAAGTTGTATTTAGATTTCCAGCTAAGCTAAAGAGAAACTCCTTTATTTGTAACCTGCAAAATATTATTTCAGAAATTTGTGAAGGACATGAGGTTTAAGAAAGAAATTCACTTCTGTTATCAAGCTGCTTTGTGCTACCAGGTTCATATTCACATGAAACAGAGTAATTCAGCTGTTTAAAAAAATGAAGGTGAGGAAACTGATGGCTCAGCTGACTAGTAACAGAATACGAAACCTCTCTCTTTTTCACAAGGTCATTGATTTGAAACCAGCCCATTTTAGTAATGACTTAATGTCATTAACATCTAATAATACTGTTTCAGTGGATTATTAGCAAGACAAGGTGGGTAAGGTAGTATCTGGTACTGGACTAAAGTCTGTTGGTGAAAGAGACAAGCTTTTGAGCTACACAGAGCTCTTCTTCAGGTCTGGGAAAGGTTCACTGAGGGTACATCTACACTGCAGAGTAAGCCCACGGGTAGCAGAACTTGAGTTAGCAGACCCTGGGTTTGATAACATAGGGTTTGAGCATCTACACTCGTTTGTATCCCCAGGTTAGGAATTGTTGACCCTGGGTCCCAACCTGGGGCTCCAGCATTTATACTGCATGATGTGGGCCCAAGTCCAACCCCATATCCCAGACTTCCTAGTGCCCTCCCAAAATGTGGCTGCTCTGACCCTTTGTTCATGGTGCAGTCTCGCAAAACTTTACGGTCTACCAAACTTGTCTTTGTCTGTTGACAAAGAAACTTGGCCTGGGGGTTGTGGAATACTTTTGGCAGACTCCCAGAGCACTAGTCCAGTGGGGCTGAAAAACAGTAGGGCTTGAACCCTGGGTCCTGGCTTGATTCAAGCTTGGACCATTCAACCCCTGGCTCTGAGCCCTGGATTAGCAAGAGTTGTGTGTAGACGGAATGGGGGTTAAGCTTGAGCCTGAGTTTGAATCCTGGGCTTACTGTGCAGTGTAGACATACCCAGAGTGTCACAGCTAAACACACAGTGGAATAGATTGTTTGGCATAAGTAGTTAACACATATTGTATCAGACCATTCAATGTGAAGTGGCCTGTTAACACCTTTTCAGTAATAGGACAAAAAAAATGAGGGTTAGTGGGTTACAGATTGTTGTAATAAGCAGTGGCGGCTCCAGGCACCAGCGCTCCAAGCGCGTGCCTGGGGTGGCAAGCCGCGGGGGGTGCCTTGCCAGTCCCTGCGAGGATGGCAGTCAGGCAGCCTTTGGCCGCTTGCCTACGGGAGGTCCACCGGTCTTGCGGATTTAGCGGCAATTCAGCGGTGGGTACACCGACTCCGTGGGACCGGTGGACCTCCTGCAGGCATGCCACCGAATCCGTGGGGCCGGGGACCTCCCGCAGGCATGCCGCCAAAGGCAGCCTGCCTACCATGCTTGGGGTGGCAAAAAAGCTAGAGCCGTCCCTGGTAATAAGCCAGGGGTTGGCAACCTCTGGCACACAGCTCGTCAGGGTAAGCACCCTGGCGGG